GACGCGGGAGGGTGCTCAATACGGGTCGTCGATCGGGATTCTGCAGACTTTGAACCCCGGGTGTGTTGAGAATTGAATATGGAAGCATTATCGGGATAGCACTGTGCTATTTTTGGTAACTGACATGGCTGTGAATATGGATTTGCACTACAGGTTCTGTCGTTATCAGAATTCTTTGCGGATAGATGGAAGCTACGCGCGTTATTTGCTTGCTTCGCGCTGATCAGCCCGAGTTTAATCTCCAAAATCTCTAACATATCGATATTCCGTCCGCTTACAGTCGCTTGATTTTAAAATCGATCTGAGACGATGACATCCGGTCGCGGATCCGCCCCCATTCCAGCGGTCAGACCTGTCATTTGGGCGCCGTTGTATTGTCTGGCGCCCGGGGGCTGAATCAGCTCGCAATCGTGCCCTCCACGCCACAATTCACCTATCGTAGTGAAATTTCTTCGTAATGCCCGATTCCACCACTCATCATAGATTTTCGGAATAGCAATATGAATTAGGCTTTCCGAATTACGTCCCTTGGGTCGTTATTTTTCGATAATCCGTCCTATTTAAAGTCCCTTTGAGATTAGGTTTGCGGTTTATTTTTAGTATCAGCTCTAAATCCAGATAGTACGGCCCCACCTTGATCAGGCCGAGCCGTATTTTCCAAAATTGCCCCAGACTAGGTTTTTTGCGCGCCAAAAAAAATCCCAGACGGCCAGCTGCCCTCGGTTCTCGGCATCACAAACAACGTGCGGAATTAAAAGCGCCAACCTCATTCCATAAATCCTTCTAGATCACTTAGAGGAAGCGCTAAAATGCAAGGTTTTACTGATGAGCTACCATCATCCTAGAAGTTTCAATGATTGCAAGAATTTTCATTTGACTACGGTATCCTAAACCACTTTGCAACCTATCTGCCCTGGGAGCCAGTAGCCGTCCTATGTCCACAGGATTGGCGCGAAACCGGTTGCCCCGACCCGGGGGAGGCATAGTTACCGCAGCTACCGTAGTCCCCCATGCGCCTGACCCAACACCGGCCCTGGGTACATGGGTCACTTGCCGGGGGTTTTGATAAAATCGAGCTTGAATCTCTCAATGGAATCGTTGTATAGGACGTATGCCCGGGTAAAATTCTTGTTTTTATTACTTGCCGAGCACTTCGAGGACTAGGAATATCGATTTTTAAGATGTCAAATAGTTCGGTGGTAATTTGCTTTTTATAACCAGGTTGCGATATCGCAATGTTCGAGAGTACCCCTGGCAAATTGCTTAGGCCCATTTTGAAAGCAGGCGTACTTTTGTCGCGGTTTGCTGATTTGCGAGTTCGACTGACAAGCGGCAAGGTTTGGCCTTGATCGATCTCTTAACCTGATTCCTAACTGATTCCTAACTGTAAGCCTTAGCCTAACGTGCTTGCAAGCGATCGATATGGCCCTATGGTCCACCCCCTTATCGTCGTTGTCTTCCTCGACTACGTGACGTTCCTCAGAACACCCCAGCAGTTTATGTCGCCCCATCCTCTCTCCCCCGTCCACTCCACCACCAGGGGCGAGACGAATTTAGATGATAAAGCCCTCAAGCCAGACGGCCGTCGCCCGGGCGTTCCCCGTTTTTTTGGGCTCCCGGCCGCGCCATTCCAGCCCAGCAGACACGGCGGGATCGATGGCTTTCCCACGGGTTCGCGGTGGCTAGGGAGCGGAAACGCAGAGACGACGACGAACGGCTGTGGCCATTGGTCCAGCCGTTCGGCCGGGGGAGACCAGCCCACCCCGCGCCTCGCCCTCGTACCGGTCGCCGGCAATGCAAAAACGCCTGAAGGGGCGGCGGTAGTGTGTGGACGATGAAGAGGAGAAGGGAGAAGGAGGAGGTGGAGGAGACCGATCCAGACACACGAGCACATTGCCCCTCCCACATTCAGCCTCCTCCTCCCTCCCCGACCCCGGCCGTCTGCAGCCCCCGCGGTGGCTTCGCAACATTTCCCGCGCCCCGGCCGGTCCGGCCGTGCTTCTATGCACGTATGAGGGGACAGAGCCGGAACGACGTTCGATGGTCGCGCCTAGCCCCCAATTCGGGCTGGACACTCTAGTGTCGGGGCATGCAGAATTGTATACGGTAGGATAGCCTTGCGCGCTGAATTATTTGCAGTTATACAGTAATCCATACGAGGTTGGATGGTCATTAACGAATCTGACTCACTAAGTATAAATCTCGGCACTGCGGTGACAGCTTTTCTAGGGCCTCATAGATAACTCAACGCTTGGGGGATGTACGCAACGCTGCTGTGCACCGATTAGCTTAAAGCTACTTTACCTCTGAGTGTCTTTAATCAGGAATTGTTACCACCTAGTTTAAACGGCAGATGGTGTCATCAACTGATCTTCATCATCTTTTTCAGAGCCTATATAGAATCCTTTTTGGAAGCCTCCCCCGTCAGAACCCCATTTTTATGCTTCGCCCTGGCTGCGCTGCACCGTTCCGACCCCAGGGAAGAGCAAACGGAACGCCGTTCGTTGGTCATCCCACCTTTGTCCAATTCTGGATCGGACAGTGTAGTCCCGCCTTCACATGCGCGCAGCAGTCCCTTTCAAGGAGGTCACCCTTTAGCCAGGCAGCCAGCGCGAATTTTGCAGCGGACTTTGAACAGAGTTCTTCTTGATGGTTCCCTTACAAACTTTGCGCAAATTTTCGACCCCGGGGCCATTTCGTTACATAAATAAGTTTTATAACACGACGAAATCAATATGGTTTCTCCAAAAAGGTACCCAAAGGTGCAGTTCCACTTTCAGTTTTTTAGAAACCCGATCCCATCGTAATTGTACTACTAACAGCAGAGCCAGAGATAATTGTGCTGAAGTTTGTCCCTTCAGCCGTTGAGTTTTTACTCCCAACGCTGGACAATTGCACCTGGAGCTATACAGAAATCGATCTCAACCGTCTATCGAGGGCCATTAGCCGGCCAGCCCCATTACTGTAGCGCCCGTACGAAAGTTGGCGCTGTCGGCCCATCTGTCTGAAGCCGCGATCTAAGCGCTTCCCACGCATAACTTATGTAAATTTCTTTGTCACGGGGCTTAGATATCGATCTAGTCCGATCGGCAGAAGCTTTCACTAGGGGGCCCCTCAAAAATCGTACTGTTCAGGCCGGCCCATCTGCCCCGATCGCCATTTTGTACTCAAGTTCACCGTTTCCTTGCGGATTATGTTTTTTAGTTCTCTCTCACACTGAGCCCTTGTCTGGGCCCCCAAGGGAATACGGTGGCTACAAGGGGTCCACCCCAAATCCCCCACTCCCATTAGGCCACACAACGGCCGCGCCTTATATAGCACAGGATCTGGACTGCTGTTTATTTATGCGGGTTTACACATTTTACCCCCACCCTGAACCCAAAGCCCGGAGGATGAGGTAGTTTCAAATGTTGCGACGATTTCTGTGATCGCACATTTGTACTAGCTCACCCGACGGTTTGGAAGAGCTTGATTTTTCAAATTTGGACCCCGAAAATTTTGATATTCACTACAGAGAAAGATCCTTTTTTGTGTTTTTTTTGTATTAGGTTGTACCATAAGTAACTGCAGTTTTTTGATCGTAAAATTTTCATGTAAGCCACCATTCATTCTTTCCAATTTTTCAAGATGATGAAGGGTCATGTGTGTCGTCTGTCTGCAGTTATAAAGATCACTTAGGGACTCCCACAACTTTTCGAATTATCCAGAGAAGACTGCGCGCAACCTGACTTTTGAGTTATTTCGTTTGCGTTACGGATAGCTTGGGTGATCTTAAAACTAGCGTCCTGAATAAGCGGCAGTAGATAGAGAAATTTATGCGCTATAAAGTGCATTGAACAAAATTTTGGTACCTAGTAGCATGACTTTTTTTCCAGGTAATTTTTGAAAGATGTCAAATTCGGCTTTTGGGCCCCGAATCGTCAAATTTCTTTGTTGACCGTTTTCTCCGAGTTTTGTGGATAACTTTTTGAGCAAGTTTTAATAAAATGAAGCTTAGTTATAGCTGCTTCAAGCCTATTGGTTATTTAAAAACAAATGTTCCACATGGGTCTCGCAAAGAAACATAACCCGGAATTTCGGGTACATTTTCCATGAATTTTGGTTTCCCTAAATGTTCGGGTTCGGAGCATCGGTAATTGTAGTAAAGTATCTACTGCCAATGCCCAATAATAATAAATCATAGAAAATATTGGATTGGCAAGGATTAAAGAGTAGCGACCGCAACTGTGTGTCGCCGGCACATTTCAGGGTTGGTCACTTGTTGATACACTAATTGGCAAAAATTGTTGAAGTAAAGGAGGGAGTGATGCAAGCTGGTATTAGGACAATGTTTGTCATTAAATGTTGCTTAGATGTAATGAGTCAGCTTTAATTTGATTCGCCTAAAAAAATTGATAAGCTCCTGTTAGCCAAGCGCATCGGGAATTCGAATTTTTTTCCAAACTATCGTGAATATCGGCTGATTAGAAATACGTGGGGCCAATTGAGCACCACAGCTAAGAAGATATTAAACTGGAATTATATATTACAAAATACGCTTGGGGGATTTCGGTGCTAAGAATTTTTATATGGCTCGAAAGGAAGAGGGGTCCGGGATGTCGCTCCCTCGGGTCGATGGGCGCCTCGGGGAAAACATTTATAAAAAATGTTTTAGAGGCAAGATTTTTTTCGAAATTTTTAGGGCATATAGTACCCTTCTAGTCTAAACAGAGGGCTAGAAACGGGATAACCAGATGGTGAAATTTTTCCGGAAAAAGCCGCCGAAGGTCGTCTGCAGTTACTTATGGTACAACCTAATAATACCATTGGAAAATCTTGCACTATGGTATCGTAATGCCTAGCTAAAGCATTAGAAACCTTGGGTGCAAATCGTAGTCATACTTTGACGTAGCGACCCATCGGTACAAATATTTAGTTATTTTGTTATAACCATTTTTTATGGTGCAGCTTAACCAAATTATGTACAAACACAACAACCATCACATAACAATCGGTGCCTAGACTCCGAATTGATCCAATAACCGCTTCCGTTGCGCCTCAGCCGTCAACGTGGCGTACTTCTCCAGCAGCTTCTCCCCTCGCGTCCTCGGACTTTTCATGAGCACCGGCTGGATGTAGGCGTTGTTGAAGTTGATCAGGGCGGCTCTCCACTACAAATATCACCCTTCTTAGATACGGTAGGCCATGAAGGGCAGACAAAATTTAGATTCGGTAGGCCGGATTTAAAAACACCTGCCAGCCAGGGCACATTACTTCTGGGGCACTTGAACACGTTCAAAATAGATTATTACGATTGATTTGAAGGCGCTAGATTTTTTTGCCGCACAGCCCGCAATGCCCACCCGGAAGCGCACTTTTTAACACGCCGGCCCCAAGAAAATTAATCAAAGCCGGCCAGCGGCGGGATTTGAGCAGCCCAGTGGTGTGGCCACTTTTTCATCCAGCACTACCGGTCGTCTGTCGGCTGTTGGCCTCCGAAATTTAGGGTTACCCCCGTCGGGGCAACCCCGCAGCCAGCAGCAGGTTTCACTTTTCATAAAAACCCGGGCCTCAATTTTGCGGGCTAATCGGCCCGCCCGGAGGCGGAGTGAGATCCGAACGTTTTGCACATCTCGAATAGTTGGGGTGACTTTTAGGGAAATTAAGTTGATTATAGCTTACGTAATTCGAGCCTCGGGTCCCGACGATTACTTCGATACCCGACATCATGTCGTCACGTCCCTAAAAAGCAGAATTCAAAAAAAATTTTTACGAGGGGCTGGTTATTAGTAAGCCTTGCCACTTCCCTAAAGACCGTATGGCCTCCAAAAGCCAAGAACGCTATCGGAATTACATAGAGACATCATTCTACTAGCCAACCTGGGAAAACACATGTTGCGTCAAATTTTTGCAAGTAGGACTCTCGGTCTTTACACCGAGCAGCTTCACCAGCGGCTTGATCGTCGTCCCCTAAAATATATCCTTATTTTGTACGCACTTATCCAAACCTGGATAAATACAGTAACCACAATGACGATTACGGTAGTCGAGACAAGCATATCCTTCGCTGGGATTAAGGTTGGGTCCAGCGTCATTACAAGACCGTAGCAAATCGCTCCTGAAATATTTTACGTTAAATTTGTGGCTGCTAACTGGCCTCGTAAACCGCCATAACCCATAATAAATTGGTCCATATACCCGATTTTCCGGACTCGCTTCTTATTTGCAAGGTATGTGAATAGGTAGACACCTAAAGAATGCCTTGCTAGTTAGCCGATTTCCTGAATCTTACCAACAAAGCGCCACAAAATACAGGCAGTCACTGTAATGGCTGTAAAGGCATAATCCCAGGTATGGTTTTTGGAAAAGGTGGACATTCCCAGGAAAACGAAAATGATGGCCTCAGAGCTGTAACAAGATAGGTGGAGAAGGGTAAGGATGTTTTTACCTAGAAGTGACCGTCTTTAGGAAGTATCGTACTGTCGTCAGGGATTGTTCGGTCAAATTTCCGGCGATATAGGGCTTCATCATCAAGCCGCAAGTTACGATACTAGAAGACTATTTCAGGAAGGTTACATAAACCTACGCAAGGATGCCAGAGAGGTGGGCACTTTCCGCGATCAGGTACGATAAAAATGGGATAACCAAGCATATTAACGGCTGGACAACCGGTACCACGTAGGAGTATCTAAATTCCTGCTTTAGTTTAGGCTTTTTGCGTATATTTGGGGGAGAAGAGACCGAGAAAGAGAGAGAAAGAGAGAAGAAAGAGGGAGAGAGAGAGAAAGAGAGCGAGTCAGAGAGAAAGAGAGAGAGAGAGCAAGATAGAGAGATAGGGAGAGATGCCAATATATGATATGAAACCAACTGTATTAAAGCGCTTACTTGCTCATCATAGCCGTCAGGCAGACACAAACAAGCCCAACCAAGATACCACCACACGACACGGTCAAGAAAGATTGAAACGCGTCGAAGAAGTCGTGAAAGTCAATCTCTTTCACCCCGATCTTGACCATTGACTTGAACGCGTGGTAGAGGACCTAAACGGAAAGTTCATCATGAAAAGCTTTCAAAAAATCACATACAATCGTCACAGCATCGTTCAGCAGCGATTCGCCGAAGACGCAAATGTAGAGCAGCTAGAAACCCAGATTCACAAGGTGGTATAGAGATTAGGAACCTGGTTGACGTGGATCTCCTCGAACACCGACAGTACAGCTACCGGGTCGACAGCAGAGATCAGGGTAGCGAATAGCATAATTTCCAAAACGCCGAGATGCGTTTCGTACGAGTCGCCAAAAAACCAGAGGGTGAAACCTAAGGCGTTGCTCAGGTGACACTTGAAAATTGCCTACCAATCCCAGAAATGTTAAAGATCGTTCCCACTACGGCATACAGCAATATCGTTCCAAGATTCGAGAAAAACGCGGAATTCGGCATAAAATACCCGGCATCAAGGGCGATTGGAGGTAGGAGATAGAGGAAGAAAAGGTCTAAAAAGTAGTATGACCGTTTAACGTCAAAGTTTCATCACCTGGATGCATATAGACATCTAACAACCAAAGTTGATCGACAATAAACCCGACAACTAGCCCGAGGGCGATTAACAATGCCGACTCGGGAAACATGCTGGCCAGCTTGTGGTTGTGATGGAAAACTGAAAGTAATGACTTTATAATTAGAATTACCTAATGCCTAAATTTTATAACGTTTTGCATTCACTTTTGAAGTAGATTTGTTAATACAGTTTTTCAAAATGTTTCTCTCATTTCTAATATTCTTTTTATATGATAAAAATAGCGCCGTTTCAAGTAAACGTTTGGAAAACGGGTCTGGAACGGCAAGTCATTTCGGTTGAATTAAAGATCATTAAGTAATGTAGGTCTCATAAAAGTGTATTTTATAGGTTAGCGTCGGCAAAGTCTGAATTTTTAACCCTTTTCACTGTAAAATTTAACAAATTTAGAAATTTAAAAATATCTAGAGAAAACGATTTTACAACCTACCCATCTTGCATAAAATAATCGCCACAATCCATGTGCACAAAAAGAGTGGCGTGTACACGCTGTGCCATTCCAACATGTCGAGCAATTTGAGCATGGTCGGGTGTCGCCGTGGGGCGGTCCTAAATACGTCTTTCCAAAAGGGCAACAAAATGTTTGTTTACCCGTCTCAGGGGGCCCGGAGGGGGAGTAGATAACGTAGAGTTTTGTCTGGAGAAGCGGGAGAAGGAGGAGGAAAAGCGCGTGTTCTTGTGAGGGAAGAAGTCAACAAGGATCGGGGCGCCCTGGAGGCAAGGATCACTTTTGGATTATACTATTGACACCAAGGAGGGTTTAATAAAACAGAATTGACTTCAAAATAGAACACCTATTGTAGTGTTATTAATTTAGTAGGCTCCAAGCTTTCGAAGCTTAGAAATAACGTTAGAATTGTAGTCGTGTTAAACAAAATGCCATTAATACAAGTCAAGCGAAAAATTCTTTTCTAGGCCTGGAAATCTTAAAAAACGAGCCTCAGTTTTTATGTTAGTAAACTCGGAAATTCCTGCCAATTAACAAACGGAATTCGAAAATTGATAGCCGCCGCCTGAGTACGGATTAGGCGGTTGGAACGAGCGGGGCGGATGCCGGACAAGATACCTTCAAGGTCGCCGAGATCTCGAGGTGAGACTCCTCTTTTTATCCCTATCACCCGGCCGCCTTTCGCCATTATTTTGCGGTGATGATGGGTGCGCGTCGTCGGGGAAATGCCGGTCGGGAGACTAAAAAGTTGAAAATCGGGATGTCGAGTCACCGGGAAATTTTTGAAGGTCGCAAAATGTGGAAATCCGTGTTTCGGATATTTTACAAACATATTCAACCGCATATTAATTTACCAAACCTGCTTAAAGGGACTCCGAAATCTGTTCCACGGCAGCCTGCGTTGATTGCTGGCAAATCGCAAGCCCCTTTAAACTGATTTGATTTTTGCTAAGGACTTTCGCCCTTGTTTTCCCAACCACAAGCATGCACTCATCGCCGGATATTTGCGCAATGATTCGTCGTGGGGTGTTGCCCGGAAGCCCTGCGCCGCCCACTCCGGGCCCTGGACAAAAAGATGCGCCACAATGGCCCAATTTCGATACTTTAAAAAACCGCAGGGCTATACATTTCTAACTAATTTTGAATGCACACCCAGAATCTTTACAACATGGCTTTTGTTGTCAACAGTTGCCGCGTAGGTTTATGTAAAACCTTAAGTTACTCTAAGCCATATTTAGACTTATCTACGCGTTAATCCTATTCTTTACATTGATGCAAAAAGATATCCGAGATGAAGAAGTCCCCACAGTCCTACCGTCTATCAATACTCCCACCGGATATTCTGTTTTCTTGACATTTCCTATGCAAAATACTGTCAGCAGTCAGGTAAGGTACCGCAACATACATTGAATAGCCAATTTTAGAGCTTCCAAGGTATGGTCAATATTAGCTTTACGGCTGAAGAGGCTACACAGCGCCTATTTTTGCATCGAGGCCTAAATCTCGACCTTATATCTTTTGAGCTGTATTCTGGAGGCCAAAAGTATCCACTGAAAAAGGGTACTTACAAAAAGGAGGTAAGCAGCGTAAGACGACGTAATTATATTTTATAGAGCGAGATACAGTCATTCATCCCGGCCAATAATTTCACGGTGCATCAAAACTATTTTGCGGTCATAAATTTTACCGGGCGTTTGAATGCGCAGATAAAGGAGTATAACTATGCCGCTGGAGATGGTACAAGGTTTGTCAATACGATATAGTATGTTATTAAAATCGATTCCAGATACGGCCTCGTTTTTATGAATCCTCAGACCTCATCGAAGGGATGTAGATATCTATTTCCGTGCTTTGACTCCTCGGAATTTCCCTCGAATTTCACTATGAGTATTCGACATCACTATTCTTTGACGGCATTAAGCAATTTTCCGTCGATTGGTAACAAAAACATGTGAGTCTAGTGAAACTCAAGCTTTAACCGATTTTCAGAGGTTTGGAATACCTCGAAGATACATTTTTGCCACTGGAATCGCTGAAACCGGCTCAAGTGGCGTTGGCGCTTACAGATTATCCGGCTACCTCTTCGAATGATACTTTTAAGGTACGTAAACATACTTGATACCCGTTTTCTTGAACCTCGCTAGTTTTAAGCGTATATTTTTCATCAATACATTGTTTCAGATTACCGTTTATCACAACCAACAGACCGTATCAACCGTCAGCATCCCAAGGATCAAGCAGTTCATGGATGAATCGGCATATGAGATTGGGAAATTGGGTATGCAATTTTTTAAAGGGAGAGCGAAACAACAAAACTTTAACTCAACAATCGGGTTTAGCGGGCGTAGCCCGCTAACCCCTTTTGGTTTGAGGTACCCCCCATACGATACATTTTGAGATGTCGTCGTTGTGCCCGATTTCACGACCTCAAATCAACCCGGTCTCTCCATACTCAACGAAAAGGAAACGATTGCCGAAAGCAACGCCCTGCAGTTCCTCAAAAATGTTAATGGGATATGATGATTTTAGAAGAGAAGCAGATGAAATAAAGCTTTGGATATGTATGCCGAGTGTAATGCAGGAAACAGTGCAAGTTTACTGAGAAAGCAGAAATAAAGAGAAATCCGAAAAAAACCTGCGCGCCAAATTCTAGCCAAACTTTTTAAGCTGTACATCGCTGGCCATCATACGTTTTATTGTTAGTCCAACCAATTGAATTTGCAGGGATTATCGGGTGAGGAGGCGATCCAGGACCAGGGAACCGGGACCGAAGGCGATCGATTCTCCGGCCCTTGAATTCATGTTAAAATTTTGCAAGTGCTAAGGCCTGTGCTTAGGCTTAGCCTTAGGCTTACGGAGTAAGTAGCTATTCCGCAGCACACCGTCGAACCGCCGATGGCGAGGTCCTAGCCTAGATTTTTTTACTTGGGGGGGGGGGGGTACACGTGGCTACTTTTCTGGGCAGAAGAATCGCTCCAACACCTGCTTGCTTTTCGATGTGATGTCAAATGTTGGGTATCATTTTTGACGAAAAATCATACTTAAATATTTATTTAATCTTTATATCCTAGCCTCTTGTGTTAGAACCGCAGTCGTGACTTCGGTAATTTTCTGTTGTTGTGGACGCATAAAGTAAAGCACTAACAGCCTGGCAAAGCTAGATTTGTTTCGCAGTCTATTCGCTTACGACATGCAAATCTGCGACACGGCAGTCACCGAAATCCAGTGATAGTTCGTGATCAAGATATAGCCGGATAGTAGCTTCCGGAAATCACCAAATGCATCTGAGTCTGCAGTTAGGGCCGGAATCAATTGAACGCAATGGGTGGTGACCGCCTAAAAATTTTGCCTGGAGCCTGTTAATTAGGAATCCGAAATTAATAAAACGACATTATATTGGGTAACCTACCATAATCGATAACCTAATATCGGCGTGATTTTTGGCATCGTTTTTCGGACGCACGCGTTTCTGAAAGCGTGAAATATCGGGAGAGCCCTCTACGACAACATCAAGAGGTTCACGGCAAAGTCCCATACCAATTTCTTGAGCATGAGATAAGTTCCGATATCGGCCGTGATCGCCAAGACAGTTGAGTGGAACATGACCTGCTCAATGACGTTCGCAAAATAAAACTAAAAATGAATACTCTTAAAATATGAACACGTACCTGAAAATCTCCCTGAAATTCCGCATCCTCCCGCGCTACATCGCCATGATAGTTGAAATGTTCACCATAATAGGTCCAAAATTTCAGTTGTTGGTGTTTCTCATAACCGCCCCAGATCATTGATGCATAATTCGTAATTGTGAGTACCAGAAAAATCAACATAATCGGAGGGGACCATCGCTGCACTAATGGTAGGTAAATTCCACCGAAAAATATTGCAAAGAATCTAAAGAATCAGTGAAGTAAAAACCATTAAAAACCTATTAATGGACAAGGCGAATTCGATAAATACCATTGATCGATTTACACTTAGATACAAGGTACTTACAATAATATTTGTAAAAGTTGGCGGAAAATATTTGTTATTGACATTTATCCAGCAGCTTTTTCTAAAAAATATGTATCAAATATACTTTTCTGAGTTTGTAAATGGCCAACACAAAATAATTTTTGGAGCTTGAGGCCTACCTATGCACACACATCGCGAAAAAACTTCGAGTTTGCGCTGCCAAAAGTCGTAAAAGCGCCAAAGCTCCCATCAAGATCTTGGTTTCGCTGCTCAAGGTCTTTCTTCGAATAACCATGAGAAATGTTGAAATGTGCACCGGAATTGCGACTAGTGTAATCTGTCAGCAAAATATCGTTTAAAAAATTATAAATTACCAAGGTCAGTGGCAAACAAAAGTTCCATGCCTGCCGATAGCCGGTGTCCCGAATTTTCATAAAGAATGATTTTTGTCGATTTTTTTAAAAGTTCTTAAAAAGCCTAATGTGGAACGTGCAGAAAGCTGTTGTTCAACCGGATTTAATTATACCCTTAGAACAAAAAAATGCGACTTTTTGACTACATTCCATTTGGTGCGCCGAGGAGGTAATAATATACCTTGAGATCCGCTGTTTCGACATTGCCATAACACCCGAAATTTGGATTTCTTGTCCGAAAGTTGTCAAAAATGTCATGTAATTATTACATTCCAAAGATTTTTTATAGATCTCTGAGCTTCCCAGCTGGCCTTGGCAATTATCCAGTTGCTGAAAGCTTTGAATAAACTTATTTTTGGTTGAAACGCCACTTTTGTAGTTTGTATTGAAGCGTTTTCTTCAAAAGGTCAAGATTCAAAACTTTCAGATGTTCAAAGGATTGTATGCTGACTACCACCTACTACCTCGCGAGGAATTTGAAAAGAAAGTAAATACGCTCAATCGAAGCTATGATTATATCGTTAATCCATTTTTGCTAACGGTATGATAGCGAAATTATAGCTAAAGTAAATCATTAAGTTGGGAATCCTCCACACTCTCGTCGCCCTACTAATGATTGCCGGGATTTTTATGAAATTGCGGCTGCTGCAGCGATTGAATAATTTTCTCTGGCCATACGCTATTGGGGCACTATATGATGGCTGTGTGAGGATGTATCAATATAACTGTAATTTGGAGTAAGTTGTTGTGCTCTTTCTTCATCTCTCTCTTTCTCTCGCTCTCTCTGTCCCTCTCTCTCTCTCTTTCTCTCGCTATCTCTGTCCCTCTCTCTCTCTTTCTCTCATCTCTCTCTCGCAAGCACCCGATGTTTTAGATGGTCGTGCCAAACACCGGGCTTCTCGCTTTTTGCAAATATGTATATCAGCAGCCTGCATGTTGCTGTTCAAAGATGGTTCTGGCTGCTGAGGCTTGGCTTGATGATTGAAAGGTGATATTGTTTTTATTTCTGATTTCTTCTACTTGTACTTTCTAGAGGGTGATACAGAAAGTATCTTGCGGCCTTCCGTCGATTTAAAAAAACTTTAGGACCTTGATCTTGGCATACGACGACGAATACGAGCGAGGCGCGAAAATTCTTAGCATCATTTGGCCTATTTTATCGGTTTTATTCCCGTTAATTAGCTATATGACATCGATCGGCTATGGATATGATACGGAATGTAATTTAGAAGATATATTTCCTTGATATTTTTCAGTGCGTGACTCGGTCTATTACGGCTTTGCCTATTATCCGCATGCCTACGTGGAGCGAGCAATGTATCTTACTTAGCTTCTACAAAAATATTTCCTGATCATCCAAAATTGAATTGAAAGCTTTCAGGGACTGGTTTTTCTGGTTTCAAGCAACACCTAAAGAAGTTTTCTACACGGTCCTCTATCCGCATTCCACGATTTTGGCATTAATTCTGGGTGCCGGGTGCGCTTGGTTTGGCTATAAACAGGTTGAGGTATATCTGATCGAACTAGCTTTTTTAAGCACAAATCAGTCGTTGGTGCAACGGGATCGAAAATTCTGTGGCCGCTTGTGTTTGGGGTTAGTTGGCCTCTGTTCTCGATTTCGCCCAAAAAATCCAATATCACCTAAAAACGACTCCTTGTTAGACTTCGGATTAAGCTTAGGCTGATTTAGACCTTAATTTCAGACCTTCCTGGCTTGCCTCTGCGGAACTTTGTCCTACTCTGCAAAGTGTCTAATCATAATTGGCGATCGAATCGGAAGACGTGAAGATCCACTCTATAGCTTTGTAAGGGAAACGGCCATCGACGTTCTATTTGACACTCTAGCCAGGTTGGGTTTTTTAGAAACGTGCCAAACTCGTCGATAATTTTAGCTCGGCTATGGCAATTGGAATTTGGATGGTTCGATAATTTCCCAAGGTCAGAAAGTACCGTATCCCAGAGGTTTGATGCAGAACTTTCCTTCACCAATTCCCAAACTGTAATTTCGATGTGCGGGGGACATTTCTCAAAGCGCCAATTTGCGTTGAAAGTGACTTTTCTCGTGTTACATTACATGGGCAACCGTTTCTAATAAATGTCTTATTATTATGACTACGATTATCAATATTTCAATTGGCTAGTGAAAAAATCGGGTTATTATGACCCGATCGACCTTACTCCGTATGAGGTTTTTGCCAATTCCACACCGACATCGTTGGAAGAGCTGGAAAAATGGTTATTCTATGCAATTCATTCAAGCGAAGAGCCAAATCGAAGTTGGCTGGCTCTGTTGTTAATCATTGTAAGCCAAAAAATCTAACCTTAAAAGTTTTTTAGCTAGTCCCATTTATTGCCACTTTACTATTGATGGTAATTCAAAACTTACGCCGCCTAAATTTTAACCCTGCCGCCACTTCATTTTTAATCTTGGAATATATTTTCCGCCTTGCTAGGCTTGCTATCATTTTTTTCTACGTTATTCCCTGCATCGTTTGGCGAGTTTTTTTATATTTTTGATAGCAAGATTTCAGTCGTCATTATCTGAACTTAGTCCTCAGCCTATATTTTGGGTATTTTTACAGCGCCTCCAGCTTTCAGATCGTTTTGTCTCTCTTTTTCAGCAGCATCTTGAGGTTGAGGGTATTGTGAATCTTTATAAAAATTATAGCTTACCGAGGCTAGCGTCGTTTTCTTTGCGCCCAGCTCTTATTCGAGTTATGCTAATCGTGTCGGTTCTGTGTTCTTTCGCATTATTTCTACCATTCTCGCCACTTGCTATCGATGTTATTGACCAAATTGGCAGTATACAATGCTATTTCCACCCGGTCGTGGCAGTGTTTATCCCAAAAATTTTGATCAAGAAAAGGGCAAATTATCTGATACGAGATATCATGTTATATTATGTCCCATTAGCTCTGTTACTGACCAGCCTGATCTTCGATGTTTTTGCAGTCGGGGGCCGGCTGAAAACCCGTCATTTGGAATCCCGAATATCCGCAACGGTAGCTTCGACTGATCGGCCGTATCCGACTACCGGAATTTTAGCTCCTTTTCAATCACACGCTGAGCTTCCTGTCGTTCTTATTAATTTTCTTGATCAGGATACCTAACACTAAGGACATGGAAACGATTATTCCAGCTCTATTAAATATCCTTATTCCCGTGATCTTTGACGGGATCTTCGCGTGGGATCTATGCACATTGTTATATAAAATTTTTAGGTGTGCTTTTTATCTGGTTTTCCAACGCAAACGGTTGTCCTGACAATACGAAGCGATCGACTAGCATATCAAAGAGCAAATAAATTTTTTATTGATTACTATGACAATAAATTAACTGAATCACACATGTTCAACTCTTTTCTGCAAGCTGTGAAAAGCAAAGAGGTGACATTTACATCAACATGGCCCTGGTTGATCGCTTAATTGCGCTGTATGGCAGGTGAAAACTTGAGAAAAGATGTAAGTCATAAATCTGAGGTATTTTTAATGGCTCACAAAAACTTACGGATTTTGAGCCGTCAGGGCTTGAAGGGTCAGCTTTAAGAACCATTTTCTAAGGCTACGAGCCGTTTGAAACTGGAAACCGCTAGGTTTCCTCGTGCCATTGACACACTTCTCGGGTAACCATGACTTCCGGCGAGCTCAAAATTAAGGAACTTCAGTCTGAAGATTGTCATATTCTGGTCGACGAGAAGAGGCGGAGTCCAGAGGAGCATTCCTTCAAAAAAAAAGAACGCTTCGAAAATACCATGAAAAGCCAACGTTGAATAAATCTATGGTTTATACCCCGTAATACACATAGATACACAGCTGCTGCCCAGTAGAGACTTTTCTACTTGAAAAAAACCAGTGGGTGACCTTCGAAAAATTTCACGAGTGGGGCCAATGTTAATGAGAAAAGCAGGTGCTCGCGAAAATGTCGTCAAATAAAATAGCCCATTCTTCGAAGCCGTTTTACCAGGCGGCGCCCAGGTTCTGTTCCCTCATTTTTGATCACGTTAACGCGGTTTTTCTCTGAAATCTACGCCTTTCTACCGGCATGGGAAAGTCAAAATTGACTACCCTGGATTCCTTATTGACTGAAGCAACAACTATCACTTCAAACAAACTTAAAACTACGGCGGACGCTATCAAAACAATGGCTACCACTTTCGCGACGACGCAAAAGACCTCCACGCAATCTACCAAACACACAAAGATCACTACCACCACCGTACGTTCGACAACAAGAACACGGGGCTGCTACGACTACTACAATGAATATAACGAATACTGTGCCGTGGTCGATTTATGGACGGGCCATAAGCATTACATTTATAATGCATATGGATATTTTAACGAGAACCAGGAATACGTCCACTTTTATCCACACAGCGACGAGTATTACGAGGATAGCTATGACGTATACGAATATAA